ACAAGGAGGATGTTTCCATAGCGACCCAAGGTGCGTTGCGTCGTTTGATATATTTTTTCTAGAAACTTCACTAATAGAAGAAGCACTAGAATTTAATTGAGCCATTTTGATCTAGTCCATTATTTGCACGATGCCAGAAGAATTGTTAACATTGACTCTTCCAGCTCCATTTGCAATGGACTTGAATCTTACTTTCCCCAATAGTATAATTAAATAATATCAATTAATCATCCTCACCCATCACATCAACTTTAATTCACTATTCATCTCCCCGCATAATTTTAACTACACATCACTTCCAATCACTCCTCTCTTACTTTTACATCAAATCAGCTTTTATCATTATATTTTGAATATTATTTTAATACAAACTCACTTTTATTCAATAAATCAAAACAAAACCAAAATAACCCACTTCCAATCTATGCTACCTGGACTCGGATATGGGTGGCGTATCGAGTGTGGAGATATGAGCATCCGACTCGTCAATAGTTTAGAAATCTTGAACATTTTAGGCTAAAATGCCACACCCGACACTCATACCCACACCAGTGTCGACACAACATGACACGGGTTTTCTTCCTAAATAGAAGAGTCTGGGTAACATAGCTTCCAATCACCCCCTAATATTTTTCAGCTGAAGTTGTTCAAATATTGCTGCAGTTCATGAATAAAGTTCTGTATGCAAGAGAAGGCGCTAAGAGTATCATGGATAGGACATTTGCTGACTTCCCTTGGCAAGTTCGGGTTGATGTTGACGGTGTTGAGGTTGAGGTCCCCGAGGTCTGTGCAACTAAAATTGCCTTGATAGATTTGTACACGTCTTTTGACGGGCAAATCATATGCTGAATCTTCTTCTTTTTTTCTTTATTTCTTTTTTTTTTCTGGCCAAAATTGTTAATTTTGAACATCTTCTCATTAAAAACGTCATTTGCTTAAATTTTGTTATAGGATGCAGAAGGTGTTCTTGTAGCTAATATCGGGAGTTATATGGGTGGTGTTGACTTGTGGAAGAATGAAGATGAGAGCTATGAAAATTTCGATCCTCAATCAATGCACGACAAAGTTCTTGAAGTGGTCAGCATTTCAGGCACATGGCATCTGGGAAAGCTGCAGGTACGGATTATATAGGCGTGTAATCTTCTGCACGTGACGATTTTTGGCTTCTTCACTTGAAAACCCGTATTTCTGTTTGCTGGTTAATCTATTGAGTATTGAGTAAATTAAATTGGTTCTATCTTTTGAATCTGGTAAATCTTTTGATACATATGTGGCACGAATTGATATGTTTCTATTGTTAAGGGTAAGACAGTTCTTTCTTAAACACCATTGAATTAAACCACCTTTTTTTGCCACTCGCAGTCAGATAAAAAAAAAAAGGTCTGTTAAATATTGTTTATGGGTGTATTAACCAGGTTGGACTATCCCGGGCACGTAGGCTTGCACAAGGGCAGTCGATTAAGATTCAGCTTTTAGCTGGTTTTCCTGTTCAAGTTGATGGAGAACCTTGGTTTCAACAGCCTTGTACATTAACCATTTCACATCATGGGCAGGTCTCTCTCTCTCTCTCTCTCTCTCTCTCTCTCTCT